GGTCTTTCCTGTGAAACCGTGAACACCAGAGAAAATTTTTGGAATGTTTATTGTTTCGCGACCAATCAGATGCGAGATGAAACTGCAAAAGATAACCGCCAAACCACAACATGGATTAGTCACGACTTGATACGAAACAACGAGCTGGCTTTTTCCTCCACGACTAATCTTCAAAAACCAAACTACTGAATTCAGAATAGACCTAGAACCAAGGGTAAATTGTCAAAATTTACAATGATACAAGTTTTCCTCCTTTGTCGGGTGAAGGCTTCTCAGCTACAAAAAAATATGGATCGAAAATCACCAATCACAGCCAACTAGCATGACCTTTTGAACTGCACATAAACCAAACACTGGTCAGCATCGCTTCTGATTGGCGCTGTCTAGCCATGTCAGATCCTATCTACTCAATTCAACATTGCTTTTCTGTAATATGTCACTAATATATCGTTCATATCTATTCTTGGCTTATAAATAAGCTGAAATAGAAAAAGAACAATTTCAGTATTTGAAAATGATAAAATTGATGATTTGTCGTGGAAGAAAAAGCCAGTTCATTTTTTCATGTCAAGTCGCAACTAATCTATGTTGCGGTTTGGCAGTTACCTTTTGCGGTTTCATCTTGCATCTGATTGGTCACAAAACAATAAACATTCCAGAAATTTTCTCTGGTGTTCACAGTTTTACAGGAAAAGCTGTAAGACAACAAGGCATTCGGTGTTTTTGTGTCGCAGTGTTCATTGTTCACAGCAGACTAAATTATTTTAGGCAGGAAATGTTAAAAAATATATATATATGTCTCATAACTGGTACTGTCCCAAGTTCATTTACATGACTGAACAACAGCATCTGCTGTGATCTGTTGAACAACATGAAATGGGGACCTACACTTCAGGTGCAGGAAAGAAGAGGTGGGGAAAGTTGTGCCCATGGGGTGCAATGGGCGCTGGCCAGAACTCAGTGTTCCTCGAGTACAACACTAGATTACGTTACATATATATTGCAGCCACTTCAAGAAACAAAACTGTTCATTACTTTCTTTAACTCAGCTTTAAATGTAACAGTAACATCGGATAAATTGATACACAAAGGATGCAAGGAAAGGTGCTTTACAACGTGTTCTTATGTGTTTATAGTTTTAGTAATTTTGTGTTCCCAGTTTTGTTAATCCAGCGTTTAGGATTTTTTATGCGTTAGTAATTTTGTGTTGTGGGTTTTAGTAGTTTAAGTACATGTATTCTGGTATTTCCCCGTTCCAGGTTACAGTCGAGCAAATCCTTTAAAGGTGGATTTCGACGCGATGCGAACTTAAATGGTTACTTTTAGCAGCTCAGACAGCATGTTTTTTTTTTTAAATAGATGTTTTGGTTTTTGAAAGAAGTGGAGAAATAGACCAAAAAAAATCAAGCTGATTGCTTTTGCTGTCTCTTACCAGATAGAAAACAGAGAAGTAAGAATAAAGTCTATGTACTGAGACTTATGAGGAAAGAAGCTCACTTTCAAACATCAGATCCCATACAAGGTGAGTCATGATTTCTTTGTTTCGTCGGAGTAGTTGCTACTATCACTGTACTTCTCCCACCTGTACTAGGGACAGTAGCACACAATGCTGGCAAAAATGAATGAATGCTGAAGTGGTTTTTCATTGTTGTTCAGCTGTTTCAAGAGTCTTTTGTTACGTTTATGTGATGAGATATTCTGGCTGTGCTTGGGGTACTGTTGTCGATGAATTTTCATTTGTGGGAGGAAGAACCAATTTCTTTACACTGTATGTACTGTTATTTTGGAAATTGAAGAGACATGGTGGTCTAGTGGTTAGTGCACTGGACTGCACATCAAGCAGTCTGGTTTGTCTTTGGACAAGATTCTTTGCTCTCTCAGTGCCTCTCACCACCCAGGTGATTGGGACCTGAAAACACTGACCCTCAGTCCCCAGACCCCTACTACGGAACCCCTCCACAGACCACCCCCAAAATAGAATAAAAATAATGAATAAATAAAGATTTCACTAGCGGGATTTTTAATAGATTACTTGTGTTGGGGAAATTTTGAATGTTGCATTGTGCAAATGTGACAGACTTGGGGTTAGGCTCGGGTGCAAGTTACACCATTGCACATTGCCATTTCCTTTGTTGTGGCTATATATGGAAGACCAGGAAGCCGCTGGGAAGGTTGGATGGTAGCCTCGAAATTTGTGCTCCTTCCCTTGCCATTTTGTTTAGCCCATTCTCCCATGGGTTCATGAACTCATTCCAGGCTTCACAATTTGCTCAGCAGAATTACAGACACAATCAAGCTTAAATGACCTAAAAACATCTTCCATGTCAGATCCATAGCCAGGAATGGAAGGTAAAAACTTTCCCTCTTTTTGCCAGCAGCTCTCCTTATGCCGAGACAGCTTTTAGACCTTATTTTTGGGATTTTAAAAACCGGCAAGTCTGTTAAATGTGCACAATGTAACGCTAGAAATTTCACCTACACAAATAATCTATTAGACAACCCATAAGTGAAACCTTTATTCATTATTTTTATTTTATTTTGGGGTGGTCCATAGAGGGGGTCCTTAGGGGTAGTCCGTGGACCAGTCCGTAGGGTAGTCCGGTGTCCTGGTCTGTAGTGGGGGTACGGACCAGGACTAGGGGTCAGTGTTTTCGGCAGAGTTCCCACTGGTTTTGATAGTTAAGGGTCCTTGGGACCCCCAGTTCCAAAGAGTTGGGGGTTCTTTTTGCTTTTCAAGGGTCCTTTGCCTATTTATCAAAAATTTTCGGAACTTTTTTCCTGCATCCCAAGGACACACTTTGCCAAAAAAACTGTGCGTCCTCTTTATTTTTTGTGCAAATAAGATGCACACCTGTGGGTTAACGGGAGCTCTGTTTCAGGTTACCCCAGGTGTACAATTGGTACTTAGTGAATTCTGTTTTGGAGACTCACCCAGCAGACTAGTGTCCCATCTAGGGGGTGGGGGAGAGGAGAAATACTTTTTATCACTTTATGCCTTCAAAACCAGTACAAGCTGGTGGTGAGGTGTTTTAAATTACTTGCCCTGACACATTCTGTTTCTGACTTGATACAAAACAGAGAAGCAACCATAAAAGTATGTGTTGAGACTTGAGAGGAGAAAGAATCACAATGGAGCATTGGATTCCATATTAAGTGAGTCACAAGTTCTTTGTGTTTAGTTTCATGTACATATACTAGGAATGACAGTGCACACTACTGGTGAGATGTTATAACTGTTTTGCTGTTCATCTTTGTCACCCTTCAGGGGAAGTTAGGGTGTGAAATTAATTGTTTTGTGGGAGCTGGAAGGACACAGTGGTCTAATGTTTAGTGTTCTGAACTGCACATCAAGCAGTCTGGGTTTGAGCCAATGGTTAGGGTCTAGTGTGTTGTTTCCTTGGACAAGACACTTAACTCTCACACTACCTCTCTCCACCTAGGTGTACAAATGGGTACTGGGTGAATTTAATACTGGTTGCTAGCCCTGTGGCAGACTAGCATCCCATCCAGGTGGAATAAAAATATGCCTTATCAATAAATGCAACAGAGACCTGGATAAGCTGTGTTGGTTTGGACTACTTGGCCTGATGAAGACTTAACCTTACCTTCATTTTCTGAACTTGCCCTTGTATGGTTGAATGGCAAAAAATCTGATGGTGTATTTTTTAATGGTGTAGGTTTTGAAATTAAAAGATAAAGGATGTCCTAAAGGTAAAAACATTTCCTGTTCCTTACTAGATACAAAACGGAGAAGAAACAGTAAAAGCTATTTGCCGAGACTCAAGAAGAAAAAGAATCAAATTAAGACTTTGGATCCCTTATTAGGTGAGTCACAATATTATTTTTAATCACTTGCTACATGTACTAGGAATAATTGTAGACAATGCAGGCAAGAAAGGTAAACGAATAGAGATTTTATTGTTTCACTGTTCAGATATTTCAAGACACCCTTGAGTTGTTGCATGACTAACCGGACACAGCTCTTCAGGGTTCGGTTATACAAACCTTGCTTAAGAATAGAATGCCTGAGGTACTGCTGTCGATGAATATTCAAATTGTGAGACAAGGGGCCTAATTTGATCAACGACCAATTGCTTTCCAGTTCATGTATCCGTGCTTCCTTAGCCATTAGGCTTCATGAGTGATCAGCTTAAAATTTCTCTTGACGGTCTCAAACATGATCATGAAGGAACTTTGAGGAGTATTTAAAGAGTTATCTCAAAAAGGAATTGTCTAAATAACTCAAAACCAGTAAGGAGAATTTGTTTCTTGACTAAGGACTCTGAGTAAGGACTAAGCAGTGAAAAGAAAGGTTATGAACGGTAGGATATTGTCTTGATATATATCACCAAATTCTCAGAACAAAAACTGAGAGAAATTTACAGCAAAGAACACCAGACAACCTAGAAATTTAGACGTGAAGTGCTAGTTGAAAAAGATCGTGTACTTTGCCATTTTCAAGAGTGCCAAAGTAAGAAATGTACCTAATTTTACTTTGCTATAGGAAGTACATAAAAATACTGCAAAGGTTCAATTTAAATGTACAAACATAGGGACCCTATCCATAGATTTTAAAGCTACAACCAAATTATAAAGCATCATAACGGTAAGACATGGCAGTACTGCATATGTCCTGAAAGTGCACGTGAAATAACTTTCTTTGTTACAAACGTCAGTCTCATATTTGTATGATAGAACTTTAATAGTGGGAGAGAAATGCTTCATAACTGTGCAGTTCAAATCACGGAGTTATTTGTTTATTTATTTTTTGCCATGAAATTTTTAGTATTTTCACCGTTAATTTTCCTCTGGGATTTCAGACACCACTGGGAAATGTTCCTGAAATAGCTGTCAAAGTGAAAGTCGTTTTCAGTCTTAATTTCTTTAAAGCCGTCTTGTCAAAACTTGTCAGATCAAAGTTGAACAAGAGAAAATCTTAAATAACCTGTAGATTATTGTAAAACCTATTGTGATTCAGTAATCGTCTTCACGTACCTCTTCGAAAATGGTTTTTGCTTGTTTTCATAAGTATTGCATTTGAACAACAGTTTGAATTTTAAAGCAACTTTGTCTTGCTATTCGCTTGTGTAAATATTTCAATTTTTGCTTGTAGTTTTGCATAAGCTCCGACAAATTACATAATACTAACTGTAAAAATGTGAAGCTACCCAAGAGCTTTTTATTGTCAAAAATTTCACGAGTTATTTAAAGATTGGTGACTTTTAACCGCGTATGAATTCATCCTGAAGGAGAAAATGCAAATATTGCTATTTTTTGGCGCGAAATTTTGAGGGTGCTATTATATCTTGCCCGTGAGCTTTTCGTCTGCAAACGTTACAAATGAAGGTTAATTTTAGAATCCTACATTTTAGCCGGTGCTATTTGTTTCGTGTTACTATTTGTCCGCGTTTTACATGTAAGTTGTTCTTAACAGGGACCTTGCGCAAAATACGACGGCAACAGCAACGATAACGTCACCAAACAAAAGGTTTAATGAGCAAACCAGTGGTTGTGCACGTGAGTTATAATTCTTAGCATATTTCTTTACCGTCCTCTGCAAAACAGCAACGTGAAATGGCCAAATTCTGCGCTGTCTGGAGAACGTGAACCACAACGGCTAATTTTGCGTATTTCTATTTGGAACTGAACGTAGCATATTCAGCAGGGGCAAGTTTTTAATACTGACAAACACTGGATAGTTCCAAATAAATGCGTAAGGTCCCTATATCAGTATGTAAACTTCGGGTATTTCTATGATGATATAACTAAACGACAAGCGCATTCCCAATGAGAGAATTAACTTGTAAACTTTAGTCAAGTATGCACTGTATGTATATTTTTGTCTTTTGGTTTCAGTACATGTATACCCGTTGTTGATAGGCGTTATATTCATCTTTCTTTTAGGCTGCCGTCTCAAGTGAACGTTCAGCGACATTGACATGGACAAAGTAAAGGAAAGCAAAAAACTTCGTTTAGATGTTTCTTCAGTGGATCACGTTTTAAATGTAAGGTAGATTTACAAGACAAAGTTTGAGTTTCTTGCGACAAGATTGTTAGGGCGGAGCTCGTATTAGTGATTTCACAGCACAAAATTTAAGAGTCAAAAGAAGACATTGGAATTATTGTCAGATTAGTGTCTTGTATCTTGCCAGTTTTCGAGGAAGCAGTGAATTGTATTTCACGTTTGTAGATTTAAAATTAAGGTAGAATGTTAGCTTTACCTGGATTAGTTTTTCGCAGTCCGAATTTTCAGCCTTGAAGTCTCGTCATTAAACTCGTCGAAATTACTGTCTAATTGTCTGGTATCTATTTCACAAATTTACTCACATCTTTCTATTTTCCGAGGACGCATTAAATTGATGAAAAGGTTGCGCTTTTGAAAGGGCCAAGAAAAAATATCGAAAAAAAACTAAGTCTTTTAGTGAAAAAAAATTGTCCTTAGAAAAAAAAGTCTGCAATTTTACATGGGGTCTGGTTTTGAGTCAAAAATGTACCGAGTCTTTTGGCGTAAAAAATCTTGCAGTATGTAGGATTTTTTTCCATCAAAAGTCAAAGTATACGCTTGATTTCTGGCTAGACTCTGTTCAAAAGCGC